ATATATATATATATATATATATAGGTGCTACAAGCTAGATCAATAAGTAAGAAGAAAATGCTGCACAGAAATGGCAGACTAGGTTTAAGGTCATTTGTGTTGCCTTTACATTCACGAAGAATAAGCACTGACCAATGGATTGAAGCACAGTAAAATAACACAAATCAAAGAGACCCATATGTGGAATGGCATTTATGTTGGTCGACCTTTACTAGTTGACAGCTGTTACTTTGTGTCAAAATTAATTTCTGTCAGGAATGGAAAAAGGAACCAGAGGGAGAACAGAAAAGCTCTGTGGAAAACAAACTAAGCCCCCCCCTCCTGGATCTCAGATGATGATATACTTATGCATTGTGTAGCATGTCAAGAGTTCCTAAGAAGAACATAGGGTTCTTTTTTAAAGATATTGATGTAAAGTGTATCTGCTTAACATTACAAATGTGACAAAAATGTATCAAAAAATGTAAAAAAGGTATAACTGAACCAGCAGTGGTCTCGCACGTAGTAAAGTAAGAAAAAGTTAAGATTGGGGATCTAGATAATGTTAACCATACTAAACAAACCTGCAGCAGCTAAACAGTTCTGTCAAAGCAGGGAGTTTAAACTATTTGGATAACAACACATTTGTGTGAAAACTTTCAATTACTACGTAGGAAAAGAAAGGATTGTTAGACAACAAAGACATGCTCCTGCATGCCTTCAGGGCAGAATTGAGTGCATTTGCAGCTGACTGACTCCTTACTTCATGTTTTTCACATCAGAGAGGCTAACCATGCATTACCTTTACTGCTAAAATGGTATTATGCCCTTTCCGAGGATTGGGTTAAACTGTTGCTGTGTGCATTTCCCAAAAAGAGGAGGAAACCCGTCTAACCAGAGACGGAGTGACGGACACACCCCTTGTCCTGAGTTTGCGTGTAAATAAGGAGCAACTGGAACAAACATCCCTTACAGGATTGGCAGGGGAGGCCGTGCACTGTGAGCAGATATAGGGGAAGCCAAAGCCCAGTTGGTGTGCGTGTGCTGACTGCTGGGCTCCAAATAAAGCAGAGGGCAGCACATGATAGCCAAAGTTGCATGCCCTTTCAAACATGAATGCACACACAAGCATGCAAACGTAATGCTGAGGAAATTCTGAAGACTTGCATTCATTTACTAACACATTCACACTGATCCCACCTCAAATCATTAACACTATCTATGCTGTGTTTACTATATAACCTCAGGCTCTGTGTCCAATTATCTTCTGTTATTGAGGTACATCTGGAGCCAAAGGGCAGTAAAACACATCAAACAATCACAGGCATTCACACACACGCACATGCTGAATGTGTTAACCTCAAAGAGTCCTTAAGACCTTGACATATCAGTCAACAGATGGTCCGTGTATATCATTGATGCTACATTAAAACACCAACCTGGTTAGAAAAAAGGTTTTGCATTTTCATGCAACTAACTAAGTTTATGGAAAACATAGCTATGGTTAGTTTTGTAAAGCTTCTAAGTGGTTCATAAGGAGCTAAATGTTTTGGAATAATAAGGCAATTATACTTGGATAAAGTTCAGAGACTTGAAAGAGACATTTGTATAGTCTAAACGCTAAAAACACTTGCTCCTACATTTCCCATAATGCAGGTAATAGCATCGTGCATCGTTTCATAAGACCCTTTCTGCAAGTTCAACAGCAATATCTTCTGAATTCCACCCCCCCCCCCCCAGTTTGTAACACAAGCTTTCTGTTAAAACGTGTGGTGTTGTTAAACACAAGCCAAAATAACCCCCTGATTTTGACAGGGTTATTTTAAAAGACTTTGACGATCTTAAAAATCTGTGAAATTCCGTAAGTCTTTCTAGGTCACATATTTCAATTAAAAAAGGTATCCAAAAACAAAATAAGATAATATCACAACATTAGCACCGAGCACAGGGGGCATGTATTATTGCTTATGAGCAACAGGTTGTATGAGTCAACCTTTGTACTCCTCTGAAACAATCTCAACAGTGTTTCCCAACTTCACAATCTGCAAATGTGTGAACTGTCAGTGAGAGAGATTGACAGTCCCTCTCTAAATACTATCCAAGTTTATATCTGACACCTTTTATCCCTGCAGAGACTCGTGTATCTTTCACTCCCTGCTTAATCCCTCATAAATCCAAATGCAATCTTAGTCATCTTGTGTATCTGCACAAGTAGCAGGAAGCATCCTCTGTGTGATTCAATTAACTATAAATATACTGATTACATCAATGATACTCTGTTTACCGAGTATACTTGTTGAAGCACATTCTTACCATGTACTTTATACATTTAGCCATATTCATATATTCACTTTATTTACCAAACACAGCTTGGTCACTGCGTCACAGACTAATCAAGTATAAAGAATATTTTTAGATCGCCTGGAAGACTTTAATAGGAGGGCAAGCCAGTGAAACAACCAGCATCTATCATTTAGACAACAGAATCTGCTTTTTTCTATCATTCAAACGCTGTCATGTAACCACTGCTTCCTCTTTACAGTGTTACTTAATCTCCTCTGATACATTGGTTGTGAAACCTCAATGAGAATACTGACAGCATTTCCACATTTGTACAGTTAAAGTTGCTCTGAATCACACAAAAAAAGGGTTGTGAAGGAAATGCCTGTCCATCCAATATCTTTATTATTATTATCTAGACGCATTATGTGCTTCAGTATATCAACTTCATCATCCAGCAATTACATTTAGCAGACAAATCCAGTATGCTATCAGTAAATAGATTACAGCAAAACAAGTACGCCGTATGCCATTAGTCTTGTATTGATTGCAATGACTGCAGTAGGGGAAGGAACTGAGGAAATTGAAATCCAGGACAAATAACACAAACAAAGGGTCGATCAATACTCCTTTTTAAGATGCATGACTCCTGACATCCAGTTTTCATCATCCAGGGAAATTACAGTCCATGTATTTGTTTTGCATGTCAGCATTTCATTATCTCTCACAAGATTGAAACAATCCTCCACCCAAATGTCGAGAATCCAAATCACGGAACCAATCTTAAAGTTTGCAAAATCAACCAAAAGTCGAGGATATTTTTTCTATATACTGCATTAGATAAGTGAATAACTTCAACTTCTAAGAGATGTTTTTAAGAGTCAAAAAGCCAAAGATATTCAATTAACAAAAATAGAGAATCTTATCTTATGAGAAGGACATGGACTTCTACTTAGTTAGTTTGTGTCAAAAGAAGAGGAGAAACACATTTTCCCACAGGGTTGAATAACTTAATTTGTCGATCTTATCTGTTAACACACATACTTCTCATTGTGCCACCACCTAATTGAGTACGTTTCCACAAAGGGGATACAATCTTCTACAGAGTCATGTATCAAATAGTTTGCAGATTATAATTTGTACTATTCAAAGCTCACACACAGTTTGCTCTGCCATTGTACTTGACAGAAATGCAAGAGCCGTGAGTGCTGCAAACACAAGCTACTGTGGATGAAGGTGCACAGCACACCCATCTTCTTCTATGTAACTTCATCTGATTTGGAATGAAACTCACTCAGTGTATGCATTCAAACTGAATAGACAGGTGCCAGGAGGAAATCATATGGAAGACATTTCTCTTCTTCTTCTACCCTTATGCGGTGGAAGTACTGACTACAAAAAACAGAATACAAAAGCCACTGAGGACAAAAATCTTGTTATGTCTTCTAATATTCTTCCAAGCCTACACAAAATAAATTGAACACATCATTTCACATTACAGGACTATAAATCACATTACAAAATGTCAATAGCGACACACTCATCTGTCGCCATGATTCATCACCAGTAAAACATAATCAGCATAGTAATCACTCATTTTCCATCAAACGTTTATGCTTAAAACCTCATTTTTTCCACATAACAGTTTTCCTTTATTTCTCAACTGTGACATTTGAAAAAGCCTGTGTGAATCCAGACGTAAGTGGAAAGAAGGGACCCATTTTCCTCACGACAATCTATATTCAAAATAAACACCTCCAAAAATAGACTCCTTTTAGCAGCTCAGTGCAGTTAAACATAACTGCCTCTGCTCTAACAATCAATGCACACAAACAGATTGTCTACACACACACTTAGCCATCAGCAAACTGTAATTCTGCATGCTTGCTCGGCCTGTGTGCCAGGCAATTATTCCAGCACCTTCTTACCCTCAACCTGTTGCTATAGAAGCACCTTGTTTGTGAGCAACTGGTCCAACAAGGCTTAGAAAACAGACTGCTGCCAAATTATGGTTCAGTGAGAGAAAGACATGTTTAATTTGATTAGGAAAAAAACAACAGCAGTGATATGTGGAAATATCTTGTCATGAATAAATGCCCATAATGAAGAACATTATGCATATTTTGAATGACCAAGTAACACAGGCACACCTTAGTTTCTACAGGATCATTTGAGCACAATATATTGAGTTTAAATAACAGTGTACTGAAAAATGTATTTCTTAAACCTGCCTAAAGTTTTTTTTCTCTGCTCTCTATTGTTTAGAACTATTGTTATTTACACTTTTTGAAATTATAAAACAAGTGTCAAAAGGTAGCCTATTAACTAAAAATAAGAACTTGTGGTGCGTTCAAGTTACAAAAGGGGTACCTCATATAGGTGAGGAAAATGTGACATAACGCTAATGCTAATAAACATTTTACATTTTAAGCTAGCAAAATCTTCGAAGGCATTTTCTGTAATTAAGTGGCTATGTTCTCTGTGGACTGTTAGGTGACAAATTATCTTTTCACAATAACTTAAACAAAAGTGTTTTAAATAAGTTTTCTGACTTTCTGACTGACACTAGTGCTAGGTGTGTTCTTAGTGCCATATTGTTGGGGTACTGACGCCCCAAAACGTTACATAACTAAATGGAGGACAAACAGCCAGACAAGTGGAGTGCGACGGCTAATCCTCTCGTATATAGATGAGATAAGAAGTGGGACACACACGGAGTTTTTAACTGCCAGCTGTCTTACCGTACTTGTTGGGCTCCCTGTTGTACTCTAGGATAGGCACCGCCACAGCGTTGGGGTCCTGCGGCTCGAACACGGAGTCGTCCCCCGCCTCTTTTTCCTCCACTATGCCACCGCTACTGCTGCTGCTGATGGTGTCCGGTGCGGGGTCAGCGACAACCGCGTCCCAGTGCACCCCCTCCGCGGCGACCCCAACTCCTCTGTCAACCGGGACTACCACAAATCTTTCGCCCATGTCCCTCCCTCGTGCCCCGTCGGTCGCACTTTTAATGGAGGAAAAACAAACACGCCGCCCGGCTTCTTACTTCAGTGGTGCACACTCGTTAGGGGCAAACACACAGACAGCGTACACACACGCTCACGGGCTGATCACAGGATTGATTACAGTACAGACGTTCCCGCCCCAAGCCTTCTCTGATTGGCTGAGAGCACCAAGGAGCGTTGTCCATCTACCCCAGAAGCAAATCAGAGTGCTTGAAACTTGTTAATTGTGGAATGAACCAGTTCTGGTTCTTAATCAATAAAATGATATACCTAACATAATTGAATTTCTCTCTAATTGTTGATAATTTTAAAAAAAATACTTCCTTATACTGTTTTAGCAAAATGTTGTATTCAGCCTTCAAATGTTTTTTTAATTAATATCATTCCCGTACAAAGCCTTTGATTTTTCTTATTTCGGATTAAATCTCTTAACATACTCAAAATTTTATTTGAAAATATGTTCACTTTGGCTTATACTTAGAAAATTGAGTCAGGCCTCTTAGCAAAACAATACAGCTAAATATAATGCTCCTTAAAATAGTGCTGAGTGCCCTGCTGTCACAAGTGAGCACATGTACTGGCATATCACACTAAACTCATTACACACTTCTTTAATGGTCTCAAAATGATGGGGTAATTAACACTCACTCTGTACATCCTCCACACTTTCAATAGCCTGTTAGGGAAACTCAATAAATCATTCTAATTTAAAAATCAGTGATAGTTTAGTCATTTGCCAACACCTCGCCAAAGCAACTTTGCTATGTTACAGCTTAGAATAAATGGTTTGTCAATACCTCAGGATAGGATGACCTCTCAAGTTTCCAGTCAGGTTTTGGTACATACTTTGTTGTGAGTTCACTTAAAACTACCTGTTACCTAAAAACAAGTCAGTTCATTTGGAAACACTTAAGAGCATATGCACTCCTTCAAACATACTCCAAATTGTCAGAAGAATCAACAACATTTTGTAGCATCTCTCACATTTAAGCATCTTCTTTCACCACAATATATTCTTTGAATGGTAGTGCTTTGAATGAAGTTTCTGTCTCTGTTATCATCTGATGTCACAAATCCTATATCAAGGTCACCACCCATATGTAATAAATTGTTCCGTGGATAAAGACCCATCTGTTCACCAAATGCAAGGGAAATCTGTTCACACAGCACTCTGGTAGGCAATGTAAGAGGGTTGGAAACATTAGCCCCTTCACAGAAATTACATTAGTGGTTGCCTAAAAAGCAACAGGTTGTTTCACTGAACAACTGAAATGAAGCACACCTTGCAATGGTGATATGATAAATACAGTTACGTTAAACACAATTCCTACATATCTTTGACAGAACTTTAGGCATAACAGCCTACACTAATGCCGCTCACAGATGAGTGTGTGATAATTGAATACGTGAATGAGTGCCCTGTCTATTATTAACATCTCAGCTTGCACATTAACCATGTCTGCCATGTACTTCACAGCTATCTAAAACTCTGAATCCTGAACCCTGGGTGACCACTCAGACATAAATTGCTTGAAGCGTGTTATACGTAGACATCTAAAATAGACAGCTGGCAGGACAGTCGGATGACCAAGGGGGAAGGGGGCGGGGGTGGGGGGGGGGGGGGGGGGGGGGGGGGGTACAGTTGGGTGGAGTGGTGTTGTGGCTGTGTTAAGTAGGCAAAGTTAAGTCAGTTTAGCTCCTGATAAGAATGGCAGAACATTCATTGGATAGTTCTTTAGTGCAAAATGTTCAGTTAAAAAATGTTATTACAATCACATGTGTATGTGTGTGAATGTATTATTCTTTGTTTAAAATTCCTGCTGTTTTAAGTCTGACTGGATACATGCATGAAGGCTGGATGCAGCACACTCAGGGAGTGAGACTGAAATGCAGTGATGACACAAAATGACTATTAATCCTCCATGTTCATGCTGTTTTACTTATCTGCAGCCACACTCATCAAGTACCATCAATGTTTTTATGAATGGATGCTTCTTGTAGAATATGGATGTGTTTTTGGAAAAATAAACATTAAAAGTTAACAATGAATTTCTGAAAAGAGAATCACAAAGGTAAAGTAATGCATTGTACATAAAATAGTTCGATTTATCATCTCAAAAACAAATGTACTTATCTCATGACTTTGATTTATGACCTCATCGTTTGGCGGACTGTATCAAATGTATTTGATTTATTATTAAAACTTCGACTCAAAAAGTATTATTTCTAATCGCGTCCAACTTTTGCTCTTTTTGTTACTGGCAGAAATGGGCTCCCATAGAACCATGTGTTACTGCATCCATTGTATTGCATTCATGAAGTGTATAGAGCCTGCAAGCAAATAATACTTATTTGTGACAAAAACATTTCATTGTTAATTTGTTCGTTCTTTTTCTAGATAAAAATAACAAAACTATTTAAAATATTGGATTAACTTAATTTGCTGCATCAACATTCTAGCCATGCTGTCAAGTCGATTATAAAAAGGTTGATTTCTGTTATTGCAAAAGCAGGTTTGTGCATGAATAGTTTGCCTCATTAGAAATATAGATAAGCGATCTACAAACCATCTCCTCGTATCCTTCACTGTTTTCATAGCAACTGTCCTCTGGGACGGCACCAACAAACTGGCTGCTAAGGTGAAGTTGTTGTCAGGGGGGTTGAGTGAGATATATTTAGTCCTCTTGACTTACTGTATAGCTTTTTGTTTTCAATGTCAAGACATTGTGACAAATTTGAGTGTGTAATCCCCTTTATTGTCAATATCTGATATTAAAATTTGTGTTAAAAGTTTGACAAAATGTGTTTTTACAGCACTACGTTTTGAATTCTACTCTCAGGATTGCTTATAGCCCCTCCCTTTTAATTTCACGACCAAAGTAGGTATTATATTAAGTACTTCTTGATAGACTTTTCTCTATGGCAGCATTCACGGCCATTTACATTAGACTGGGGAAATTACTGGAGCCAACGATGCGTGCCCCGAGTATATGTGGGTCAGCGCTATAGCATGAAAGGAAGCTTTTATTGTGAAACGGGACCCCCACTGCTGTGTCATTGTGTTCCCCCATGTCACAACAGACAGTGGCGGGTCATAAGGCCGCACATCCTGGGCTCAGTAATCTGAACAAATCTCAGAGGGGAACATGATGTAAGAGTGCACAGAGATGGTGTGAGGAGACGAGGCCCAGCTGCCACTCCTACACGTGTTTGGAGGGGCACTTCCCATACCGCAGACTCAAAGGCTTCATACTGTATCTTAACACTGCAAAGGTCTGTTGTTTTAATGTTGAAACTGAATACCCCTTTACTTTTACCCAAATCAGTCGAAGATGTACAAAATCACACATGCTAACACTACAAAGAGACTGAAAGATCAGCCATAAACATTCATCTGTTTGCATCCTTCAAATTATTTATCTAATATATCATATTCCATATACTTGTATATAGACTCTTCTTGCACTATTTCTATTTTATTTGTATTTACTTGCACATCTCAAAACATTCTCTTGCACTATTTTATCTGTTTTATTTGTTCTATTTTCCTATATATATTCATGTTGTACTGTTGACTTAAGTTTTTCAGCTACACTGTAGCTAATGTGCACATGACAATAAAGCCTTGAAATGATGTCCAATCCCTAAAGGTTTTTTAATCACTTCATTTAGCAGAATTAAATGCTCTTGTGTGTGATAACAACTCTTTCATTTATTAAGTCTATGGTTACATGTTGTATAGATGCAAATTAACTATATATAAAGTAATCAGAAGATGGCAAAACCACATTAAATGTTTTCTAAACAACTTTGTCAATCCATGGTCGTTTGGTAGAAAACAATATACACATGGGGATGTCACACGAAAGCTTAGGAGGTAGGAAATGTGACGTGACTTGTTTTTTAAACAGTGTGCAGATGGCATGCTGTTTGTAACGAGATCCCACGGGCTGCACAATTCACAAGGGACAGATGTGCATGTGTCAGTTTGTGTGTGTGCAGAGAGACACACAGAATACTCTGGACATCTACATTTGCAAGTGATAATGTCTATAACAGCAACAGTCGATAGAAAAAATGAGTAAATCAGTCTGTGACAGCCTGTCAAAAAAAACATAAAAGATGACAACATACAAATAGTCAAAAACAATGCGACCTGATTCATCAATGATGCAAAAATTGATCTGAATCCACTCCATGGATTTAGTTGCTGATAATATTAGATTTACAATATTGGGTCGAGTACAGTACCAAACATATTTCTTTGTGTTTGGCCTTTATCAATATTGTTTCTTAAATAAATCACATTTTCAGGGTAGGTATGAAATTATAAAGGTAAACCATAGCTCATACAAAGTCAAGTGTTTTTTTATTACTTTCTTTCCCACAAATTCACAAAAAATGCAATTCATTTTTGTATTTGCCAGCAAGCCAGGGCCGGCCCTAGATTTTGGTGCCCTAGGCGAGATTATGATTTGGTGCCCCCCCCCCTCCAAGCAATAAACAATAGAATACATATAGAATAAATGAAAAATCTCTACAAAAGGCAAATACACTACAAAAACTGAAACGTATTGACATGTTGGTTATATACATAAAGAAGGTTTCAAATGTATTCATTATTGTATGAACATGTTTTAATTGGGGGGTAGACGTCACATCCTCGAGGGGGGTCCGGGGATATGCCCCCCCGGAAAGATTTTTTTTAACATTTTAAAGTAAAATGCTTCAATCTGGTGCACTTTGAGCAGAATGACTAGAGACTAGATCTAGGGGTACAACTCTAAACACCCATATGAAAAAGATCGGTTTACATTTTAATAATCAAATAAGTATGTGAACATAACCAATAACCTACCATAGCCAATAACAAATAAAAGTAACTTATTTTATTTTTGTTGTTCATTCATATCTTATTTTACCTAGTTAACATTTATTTATTCATGCATATTTTTTAATATCTCCAGTTTTAAATGATATTTTTGGTTTACTGTCCTATAGTATACATTGGAATGATTTCAAACCTGTTGTTTTTTATCCTAATAATTATAAAGGTGTGCCTTGGAAATATTTGTTTACATAAATTGTGACCAA